AGGGAAAGAACTGGTTAGACATAATGAGTAAAATTACAGTTCCAGTGAAGTCAGCATGACCTCTTCCACTGACTTCAGCAGAACTTGGATTTCACCTCACATTTCAATCAAAGGGGCAGAGCTTCAAAATAACAAGAAATGTCAAATGCTGTAGCTGTCTATGTTGGGTAGAGGCACCTATTCAAGGTTCAGAAACAGTTTAACAAGATCCAGTAACTAAATTGTGCCAGAAGGAAGACAAATCCCTCACAGTAGATTAGTTTGTCAGTGTGCTATGAGCTCACATCAGAATTCACTTACACTGGACTAGTCTTTGGTGCTTTATTTTTTAAAAGAATTACTCCCTGTTGCCTCTCTAAAGTTTTCACAAAATTTGTTCTTGTTTCCTTTTTCTCCCAAGAGTAGTAATACTTCCCTAGCTCTACAACTAAACCTCAAATCAACTTGAGAGTAGTAAGTATGTTAAAATTATATGCCCTATGTCAGCTTCAGAGCCACTTCCACATGAAGTCAGAGGAGTATCATGCAAAACCGAGCTATTTGAATACTGTAGGTCAGCGGTAAATTGCTAAGTGTATCACAGCCACTTCTCTACACACCTCGACAAGCAAAACAGGCACTGAGTGTCTTCTAAATCACAAAATATTAAAAAGATGTTAACATTTAACTTTTGATTGAACCAGTACCTGGTAACCCTGCATCACCAAAAATCAGTCAAAATATCTTGAAGAAAAACTTTTACAAAGAAATTACCACATTTTATGACAGAGAAAATTCAAATAGATTGTGGTTAACTTACCAAATACTATTGAGAATAAAGAACAACTGTATAAAGATACATCCAAAAGGCAGAATCCCTCCCATGATAATGCCAGGTAACGGCTTTGTATAGAATGATTGCTCGGGAATCTGACGAGGAATTTGATTTGTGCGAACAGGGTGTTCAATAGCCTTTAAACGACAATAAGAAATTGCTAAATAAGTAACATGTCAAACTGCAGCACCACCTTTTTGCTTTCTTTTTGAAATGAATGGTGGCAAAAGTCTACTATTTGTTTTGAGCACATGCATACCCAGCTACCACTACATTTGCTTTCACTACCACCCTAGCTACCAACATTTGCTAGGCAAACAAGCTAAAAGACAGCTCTTATTGAAGACATAGCAACAGATATTTTGGACTTCCCTTTTTATGATTACCTATCTATGACCTGTTACAGAGCCTGAGCTGATTTCTCACTTTTCAGGTGGGGGATAGTGGTAGTACAGACTCTTGCTTTCCCCTTCTAAAAATCCCTGTGTATTGTTTTTCAGGATTTACTCCAAGAAGCACATTAGGGTAAACTTAAGAACTGAGAGGATTCAATCTGGCAATTAAATCCTAACTGAAGACGCATACATAGATCAGCATGGCGGGAGAAAAAAATTTAAGGCAGATAAATGCATATTTTGCCATCTTTCTCCTTTCGTAAGATTACATCAAAAGCATCAATACATACTTGCTAGGTACTTGCTTTCTGATTTGATTTTAATGTATTTGTGACACCTGTCACACTGCCTTACAGTTTATCAAATCCTCCTTTCTTAAAGGAACTACCTCTGTACAATGCAGGGGGGGTTGCTGGAATTTCAAGCTGGTTATCAGAAAAAACCCGCTGAATTCTGGTTAAGAAAAACTGGATAACTACAATCAACTTTAAAAGTGCCTTCTAAGATACTTATATATTCTCTGAAGGTATTCCGTGAGAGCTAGAGAGCTGGAACTCTGGGAGAAAACCAGAAATGCGTAACTTGCTTTCCCTTATGCTTGGCTGGGCCAACTGATTTTTTTAGTAATGGAAGAGATGCTAATTAAAATAAAGAATGCCCAGATCACTGCTTTACCTGGTGCAATCACTCAATTAAATACAATGATAACTCTAACTGTTGTGGAGAATTATCACCACCAACCAACTGAATATCAAAGTCTTGGAATCCCAAGATCGGCTATCTAATGCAGCTCTAAAGTAACTGAACAGGACTGAAGCTGACAATGCAACTAGCTTAGCTGCTACCTCAGTCATAGTCTATACAGTGAAAAATATGCACGTCTATGCACGTGTATATGCGTATACACACACTTACAAAACAATTTCTCAAAAACACTTACGTTTTTCTTAAAACCAAAATAGGCACCAATAAACGTCAGCGGTACAGATATGCAAAACCAGAGTGCCAAAATAGCAACCAAAGTACCGAACGGAATAGCTGCTGAAGAGCCTTCTCCCCAGAGAATGAGGTTCATGATAAAAAAATCTGCAAATACAATTCTGAAAAATACATAACACACTTAAAGCACAGAAATGCTCCTTAATATTTAACGTTAGCAAACAACAGCACTGTATTAAGATTTTAGTGAAAATCTTTCTTAAAATGAAACGCCACACACAAAATACCAAAATCAAGAGGTCAAACAAGCAATTCTTTGTTAATCTAGTGGGATTGGACTCCAGCAGGAGCTGACGTTCCAGCTAAGCAATTTCAAATACATGCTTGTCTTAACTACACTTCAGGGTAAGACTGCTTGCTGTGATTAAGTAGAAAAATTTATCACAGTGGTTATACAGTATATGACACTATGTAAGACCAACTACAGTGTGGTTAGAGAAACAGTCTAGACAGTAAAAGAAAGCAATGAAAAAGTCTGCCTGTCTAAAACTTAACTACTATCATAATGCTCTTTCTTAATCAACCTTTTCATGTGGTAAGAGTAAACAAATGCTTAATGAAAAAAAAAAATTCTAAGGATGATATGCCATTAACATATTCATCTTTGTCAAAAGCACCATGATATTCTTGTAGCTTCTGGAATAAAGGGATGACGACTTACTTGTATAGCTGAAACTTAAATTAGCTATGCGTGTCAGAGAAGCACAATTTAATTCTTTTAATCATGGTGATATTCTCAACTTACCCAGGACAAAGGAATGATGTCAGCAGGACATTCGTTTTCCATTTCTCACCTCCAAATGCTGTATTAAAACATTTGACAGTCATCAAAACATGCATTAAGCTCACAACGATTAATTTTCCAGTCCATTTACCTGTTATACTTAGATTGCAAATACTCAAATAATGTGCTACCATGCCCAAGTTTGAAAGAGTAAACTAAATCTTTAGTAATAAAACTGAACTCCCTTCTCACATTGCTTAATCACAGAGCTTCAAAGCAAAGCCTCAGACCAAGGTCAAGAAAACTATCCCAACTCAATAAACCGGGTCTCTGACCACTTCAGCTGTTAAAAGGAGGAAGCAGATTTGCAGTACTTTTAAGTCTTTAAAAAACAGTTTAAACCTGGAGTGATTAAGAAGTTTAACCTTTCCAGCATTTGACTGCCGGTTTCAGTAGGTGGGGAAAAAAAAAAGTGAAAAGCAAGCTTAACAGTTTTCTTGAAATAATTCTTGTCTAAGAATCTTACAAGAAAGTCAGGACTAACATGCTTACAGAAAGTAGTGATGCTCTCTTGAGTCTTAACAGCATTAAGCAGTGCTGATACCAAAAGACCAAAGATAGCTTTATTAAGAAAATCTTTATGAATTTGCACTACACTGATAAAAATTATAGTCAGTATACTTTCAAATTAAAATATCCTGCTGGAATTCAGTGAAGCTGACAATTTCATCTGAGCATTGCCATAATGACATGCTTCTTTACTTCAAGAGTCAGAAGTGATTATGGTTAGAGTGATTTTAATTAAGTTTCTATTTCTTTATAAAATCTTGGTAGAACATGGCACCAGTTATTAAGGTTAACCATTTAGTTTCAACTCAGGTTTCACTTTTTAAATGCAATGTTGAAAAAACCCCCACTTTTAAAACTGGATATCCATTTCAGTTGCATTTTGGTTTACGTCTCACATTACTTTATTTGTATACCATAAGGAGAAACATTCATGTTTACATGCTCTATACAGGGAGCCACCTTGTGTTATAACAAGAGTATCTCTAGATCAGTCACTCACTGTCTTAGTAGTTAAACACAATATTCAAGTATCAACTAAATGATTCCCAATAAGTATAATATGAAATGTAATTATTATTAGCTATATCTCCACCAAAGATACTAGATTCAATTTACCATCAATACACTTCAAAATATCCTTCAAAACACGTACTATACACCATGATATGAACAATAATTCTGTCCTCAATTATGCTCTTAGTCCTAAAGTCTCCTTCCATTTAAGTCTAACTGGCTTGAAGAGAAGGACAAGGAATAGCTCACTACCAGATCACTACCGTTGTGGAAAAAATCCCTACAAAATACAGCCCCAGTGGTTCTCCTCACATGAAAATTACAAAATGGTTGGAAGAACGAACTCCAATGCCTACTGCCAGGTTGAAGTTCAGAAACAAACTCCTATAGATCTGTATGTTCAGAACTGAAATAGTCCAAAAGACCCAGCTCAGTCATAAAGAGTCTTGTACCTTGAGTAAGGTAATTAAAACAAGCTGTATGCGGAATGGCATGCTTCACCTTAAAATAAACCAGAGGGTAGAAGGGCAAACCATTTAAGGTTGGTAAACAAGCCTTGAAACAATGGCTAGCTGGGATCAGTTAAGGAAAACAGTGTCAACTAACTACTGTCAGGTGCTGAAACACCACTGGGTTGATTTCTACAACTACAGAACACCTAAAAATCCTTCTTCCTGTGCCCCTGCCACAGTCTGGTAAGCACCATTCTCCCAAAGACCTAGGAACTAGCTAAAAATAGGTGACAAATCTCAGGCATGCAAGAATAGAGGGTCATGATTTGGGGAGGAAAACAAAAAAAAAATGCTACCAAGCAACACTGATGGCTAAAACTAAATGCAAGTTAACATCCAACCCCCAACTGTAGGAAACAGAAGTACAAAACTGTCTGATGTAATGAGCTTAGTATTAGTAAAATGGAATTTGCTTTCCAATTCCATAAATACATAGTAGCAAGAGCAATTCAGGGTCTTTAGGCATGATCGCATCAAACCCGATGTAACCACGTCAGTGTTCTATATGTATTTTCTGTTGTAACGGTAAGTACATTTCTCCATCTTGCCCTGAGGGAAACTACAAACAGTACTGGAAAATAAAAATCAGTTCTGTGATGATAATTTACTTTAATGAACTCAAGCCCTGTCATTTTAAATAACTTTTACTCACATTTGTAGAATCTGGCAGCAACATAACCGGCTGGAGTTCCAAGCAGTACCCACAAAACTACAGCACAGGTCATTAGAGCTCCCCGGTTAGCAGGTGACAAAAATCCCAGGCAAGCAAAAACTATGAAGCAGAGATGCAAAATTTGGAAAGTAATTATATATTTGACTTAAAGCCAGTATATCAGTTATCTTAAAATCTGTGTATACTAAGTTGCATGTCTACTGTATCAGCTCAGCTGTTTCTAATCTTAGACTTAAGAAATTTCTAGACAAAATCTATACTGCTGTTTTTACTAATACCTTGTGATTAGCAATGAAAGATCATCTATACTCAACTAACTCCTCCCCACTTTATTACTTACACAGGGTTACAAAAGTCATTATTAAGATCTGTGTGCCAGAGCCTAGAAAAACAGACAACAGCATTCCTTTTCTTGGGGGCCTGAAAATATCACCATGAACCAGCTTCCAGCCAAATTCTTCTTGAGCATCTTCCTGTAAAGGAAAATACACCTATTTTAGTACAGTAGATTGCCATTTAAATAGCCTGTTACGGAAATACATTTAGCTAAAAAAATTACACTCCAAATAAATTTTAGGAGGTACATTTCAGACTTACTGTGGAATCCATCTGATTGTATCTCGCAATGTCTTTATGCAGTGTCCTCAACATAATCATAGCTACCATTCCAGACAGAAAGAGGACAATCACCAAGGAATTCATAATACTGAATTAAAAAAAAAAAAAAATTTAAAAAATCATCATTCAAATTGCCATGTAAACACTTCAGTACAGTACACTTAAAGACAAACTGTCTTCTCACCTAAACCATTGAATGTGAGTGTGAGGCATGGATTCCAAAATATAATCCCACCTTGATGCCCACCTTATATTTTTTTCTTCCTGAAAGAGTAAACACATCAGTTTCAGATACACTCAGTATCCAACTTAAATTTACAAGTTGATGTTCATGCAAAGCAATCTTAAATTTCATGACAAACAAAATTTAATTTTGCATGCCTTAAAGGGAGTAGTTTAATAACAACTACCTAAAACAAACCTAATATTTGACCATAGAATCTAAACAAAAATATTTTCTGAATAGTACTGAGCACCCGTGTCTTCTTTGGACGTAAAGGCATATCAAATTAATTTAATTGTGCTTCCTCCCTTCAAGAATTACACTAATTCATCTGGAATTCAAATGACAAGCAGAGTAACAAAGAATATGCATTTTTAGCGTATGCATTTTTAGCGTATGTACATCAATATCACGGACACCGAAAAACTCAACACTGCTATATAGTCTCCAGCATAATGTTCCACTGTTTAGATAGTGCTCTGTCCAAATTATCCTTTGCTTTGATACAACCTTGTTTCAGTACCAACCACCAATCCAATTACATTCAGCTTACACTCCCAGACAGGTGGGGAGACAATACTACAAAACTTACATGTTAGTAGAAGGAAGCAAATTATTCCTTCATGCATTTCAGCTGATTATACTTATTCAGACTGAACATTCATTGATAAGAAACACTTCAAAGAGCATTTCTTTGTTTTATTTTGCAGAATAAACATGAAAAAAAGGAATAAACAGTGCTGATCAACCTGAAGATGGCTATTAAACAAACCATAAACACTAGCATCAATTAATAAAAATGGCTAGGTGTTTTTTTAACAGGGTGTTATTTTAGTAATTTATAACGTATGAGAGCACGAATGCTTTCCAGTAAAGCCAGTTTTTGAAAATATAAAAGACAGTGGGTTACAAAATTTAGCCAAGATCAAATATCTAGTTAGCTGAGGTAATAAAACTAGGTCTCAATGCAAGCAACAAGTTTCTAAACCAGTATCAACAATTCTAGCACATAATCGCATTTTTCCCCATACCTACACTGCCTTTTTTCTGTCTTCCTGAGATGACCTGATCTGCCAACCCAAAGGAATTTCGGAAAATGACCTCTAAGTCATGTAACATTGTGCACAGCACAGTAACACACACACAGCTGGGCATGTCACTTTTTGGTTTTTTGTTTGTTTTTTAAGATAAACAATATAGTAACATGAAGCTAAGGTCATTCTTAAATACTAACTTCTCACATGTTTCCAGAAGTACTTGCTTTTCAGTATACAAATTAATCTCAGCATCATAACTGATATAATTTCTCAAAATATAATTATTAATCATATGTAACATAGCCCCTTCTGACTATTTTCCTTATATTATTTACACTGTTGTCCTGGTTTCACAGCACTATACCAGCTACTAGGAAGAAAATTAACTCTATCCCAGCCGAAACCAGGACACTCTTATAAGCTGTTAGAGCGGTGTTTGAAGAATTACCATGAAAAATTTGAAGAATTACAATTCTTTACTCTAGTAATGTACTGGATTACATGGTAGATTTCAAAATAGTTGTCCTGGTTTCAGCTGGGATAGAGTTAATTTTCT